AAATTGATAGGAAAATGATGTAGAGTTAATTGAAAACATTTTTAGTTGAAATGCATGTTTTGTGGTGGTGCTGGACGAATTGGAAATGGAATACAATACTTCTATTTATAGAAATTCTATCTCAACTTATTTTCCTAATTAATTGCTAGAAAATCTCTTTGCTCCTTGATTTTCTTCACTTTATTACTCAAACTAAACCACGTTCCAGTAGTCTTTTACGTCTCTTTTCTTCTTGCTTCAATAGGAAAGTCCTTGCTGAAATCTCTCCTTGATCCAGTCAAATGCAAGTTGTCGAGAAATATGCTGAAAAGTTGCTGGAAAGTTGCTAACTTTTAGCAACTCCTTTCCTTAAGTTAGGCTGAAAACTTCCCTTAAATGGCTGGAAGACCATTCATAACTTTTGCCCAAATTATCCCTCACATGACGGCCTCTCCTTTGAATTCCTTATTCCTTTGCAACGAAATTCCTATTTCATAGGAATCTCATTCCAACTAAATCTCTTCTATCCAAACTGAAATAATATATTTGAATTAACTCAAATATTAATTACCAAATTTCAGCAACAACCTTATTGGATAAGGTGGCTAAATTCCTAGATTTTCTCCTCCTGTTTCTCAATTGGCCGACTTTTCTTGAAACCATACTAAACAAGTGTCGGCCCATTGCTGGTTCACGTCACCACTGAGGTGGCTGCCAGTTTTTGGTGCCAACAATATCTAAAATATATATATTTACAGAGAGAGAGATTCTGTTAAGCTCATTCCATATATATATCGCTCACGGTATATATATATTTATTTATTTATGTACTCCGTATTTGTAACTCACTGTATATGTGTGTGTGTGTGTGTGTGTGAAGTTGAGGCTCTCACTTGTTGGGTAGCTGATATATCAATGAAGCTCACCAGTTGATGTGTACAAGAATTAAGCTCAGCGGTTGCTTTTGCGGTTTGGGTCTCGTCTTGGTATTTAATAGAGAAACATGGCTCACACTCAGTTGGGTCTCGGAAGGGAGAACTGTGAAGCTCACCGGAACTGCTCTGAAACCTTTACTCCTTGCTGGAGCTCACCAGACTGCTGGGCTTCGCCAAAGTAGGTTATAGTAGCTTGGAGCTTGTCCTTGGGTCTGTTCAAACTTGAGCTTCTCACCGGTTATGATGTTGGCCGACTTCAATGGATTTGGATCAACACAACTTTGCTGCCTTAATTACGCTGCAACTTGGGGCTCGCTGGTTTCAATGGACATTGCCGCTCGGAGCTTGCTGGAACGGATGGGTCGTTGTAGATCTTCAATTGAATTCATCTTCAGTTTGCCCAGTGATGATTAGAGCTTCTCACCGAAGTTCATGGATGCCGATTGGGTCACTGAAACTCTCTCTTCGCGGGTTGGGTCTGTTGGTTCAACGAAAGTCGCCTGGAAATACAGATTTGAGAGCGAATGAGAGGGAATTGCTGAAAATCAATGACGAACGAGAGAGGATTTGTTGAGACTGAATGTTAGGGCTTTGTATTTTGGGGGTTCTCTGGTTCGAATGCGTATATCTGATGAATACATATAAAAGGTCAATATATAATAGTCATACGGGCATATATGGTATTTTAAATTTTGACTAACACACATGGGTCACGTGCCTCAAATCACCGTTAATTATCAGACGGCAACCTAACATAGTTTGACTATTTGCAACAAATAAATAGTTTAGGAGTAAATAGTTTAGGAGGTTAAGTGTATTATTTAAAGTTCAGAAGGGTTTATTGAGAAAGAGAACAAAGTTTAGGGCGGGTTTAATGCACTTTATCCGGAGATCTATGACATTATGATATAAAAAGTTTGTGCAAAAATAGTTCCTATTTTTTGAAAATATGCATTTCAGTCTATAAAATTCAAAAAAAGTACAAATAAGCCCCTTTGACCACTTTTTAACCAAAATTAACATAAAATAAATTCAAGAGTTAATTTCACTGAGACTCCCTCAAGTTTGGTTAAATATCACTCTAAAACAATTTTCGAAAATTATCACTTAGGTCCAATTTTACTTTTCCATCAATAATACCGTTAAAAACGTGCGAAAAGACAAATCTACCCTTATTTTTAAAATTCATTTTAAACTAAAATATCCACAAATTAAAAAAGACAACATTGCCCCCAATAGTTTCTCTGTCTAAAATATATGTGTGCATATTATATATATATATATATATATATATATACACACACAAATAGGCTCGGTGGCCTTCCAGCAATGGCAACGGCAACGGTAACGGCGGATCCCTAACGGTGACGCCTTCACCTTCTTCTCTCTTCACGACGTCGTGCCCCACCGTGCAATCTCCACAAACTCCCCTTTATCTATATATACATACGCACAGTTATATATATATATATATATATATATATATATATATATATATATATATATGGATTCAGATGAAGAAGGAGAGGAGGTCAAGGCACAGATTTGGGACACCACCGGCCAAACGAATCTCTTGTCACGTTATGCTCGGAACGAGTTCAACGTGCACTCTAAGGCCACAATCGGAGTGGAATTTTAGACGCAATGATGACAAGGAAGCGATAGGCTCTAGACCATCAAGGTTTGTTATGGTTTAAATTTTGTTCATGAATGGTCTCAATTTCTTCTTCTCTTGAATTAGTTTGTGATTGATTGGTTTGTAATTGAGAAAATTTCTCAATTAGTTTTTTTTTTTGTTATAAATTCACAATTGGGTTCATCTGATCTCCACCACCTCTTTTCTAGCCACAGTTGTTTGACCGACCCAATTAAGGTGGAAGGGGAATAACCAATATTTTGCATTCTAGAAACTACGACAGATAAGGTCGGGAAACAAGCCCAGAAAGCCAGACAGAAGGGGACGGTCAGAGGACCCCGCGACTACACCAACAAGAACTCTTGACCATTGATTCATTCGCCAATTCCAAGCAAGGATCTGACAACTATGTTCACGGGGATGTTCCCCAATAATTTGAGTGAAAAATATCAGATAAAATGTGAAACAAAAATATATTAGATAGTGAGTGCATACGAGGAATGTGGTAGGGAATAATGGCCTCCACCGCCGACGTGATTAAGAGGATTTGCTAACAATGTGATAGAAAAAGAGAAATGTGCTTGAGAGAAGTTGAGTGGTTTGGTTTGTAAAATTACATAAATATTTAGAATTTTTAAGAGGTGACAGATTTTAGTGAGGGTACTTTTGTACAATTGCTTTCCTATATATATATATAATATAATATAATTGTAAATTACAAAATATATAGGGATAATTTAGTCTTTTAATCTAGTTTTGTAGGTTAAAGAATTCTTTTGTCAAAGTCAAAGGGTATTTTAGTTAATTTACAGGGTGTCAGAGTTCTACATATAACGGTTGGGGTGTGATTGAAAAACGGAACAAACATTTACAATATGGGTGATAGTAATTTTCGAAAGTTATTTTAGTGTGATATTTGGCTGAACCTGAGGGGGTGTAAGTGAAATTATCCCTAAATTCAAAAACCCTATTTTGCCCATGGGTTAAGTGCCAAAAAAAAAAAAAAAAAAAAAAACCCTCTATTATCTATATAGTGCAAAACAGTCCCTTTGTAGTATAAAACCCCATATACTATCAATTTGGTACAATTACCTCACTGTTCGCATAAAAAGACATTAATACCCTCTCTAATATAAAAGAAACAATATACTAAGATTTAGACAATGTAAAAAATTCATGCTAAACAAATATAGAATATAACCACTAATAATTTTCATCTAACCAGACCGAACCCAAAAATTTCAAAAATTCTGATTAATTTAAGACCATTAACTTTTATTTTTGATTTTTTTTTTTCACATAGATTTTATACTAATAGTTACATATTCAATATTATCTAATTAAGATCATTAACCTTAAAATAAATATATTTAAGATATTTAATAAGTAATGATAAAACTATAAAAAAATTAGTCACTAATGAATTTTGAACTAAATTAAAGATATATTAAAAAATAGAACTTTATTCCTCTTGATTATTACAGTAAAGTGGATTTTATTTTTTTAACCCACTGTAAAGGTAAACTAACTAATAATTTTCTAACAAATAATGCATTTGGTTTATATACTAATTATGATAAATCTCAAGGATGATCACTATTCTTTATTTTTTAAAATTACAATCATTTAATTTTAAAATTACATACATTTGCTCACTTTATGTTTTCAGGGGACCCAAAAGGGTGTTGTGGATCCTACTTTCTTCAACTCGAGGATAGTGAAATTACTTTTTTCATACATACACTCATCGACGTGGTCTAATATGGATTCTTTTAAAAGGAAATTATGGTATTGTATATATATATATATATAGTGTATGTTTTTTCAAATGAGGATAAAATATCATGTCTTTTCTTTATTTATTTTATGTCAATTTTGACCAAAAAGTAATTAAAGGGGATTATTTGCACCTTTTTTGAATTTTAAAGACTGAAATGCACATTTTCAAAAAGTAGAGACTATTTCTGCACAAACCTTATATATTAGGGGGTTTTTTGCACTAAACCCAGAAATTTATATTAGAGAGGGTATTAATGCCTTTTTATGCAAACAAGGGGATAATTACACCAAATTAATAGTATAAGGAGATTTTATATCACACATAAATTGTTTTGTAAATAGTAAAAGGGGATTTTCTGCCCTTAACCCTATCCAAAAATTACCTTAGAATTGTATTTTGCAACTATTTATAGTTCCGCCAGGTGTTTTGCCTATATTTGGTGTTTGAGGCTTTGAGCCCGTTTACCAAAGGTGGGGAACGTGAGTACAATTTTAAAAAGAGTATATAAAAATAATAAATAAATAAATAGATAGAAGAGTTATATGTGTAATTTTAAATTACAATTTACAATGCAAAGGACTTTGTTGGGTAGGCTAACAGTGGAGCATAATACTTGAAAATGCGTAGGATCCGAGTGTTGGTGGTGGCCTTGCAAACTTCACCACTCCCCTCATATAAAATAAACTATTCCTATATTTTATTTATTAAATACGTATTAGTACGATCAGGCCGACCAACCAACCAACCAACTGAAGAGCTGAATCGTCCTGTTGGTCATCTACGCCAATTTTTCCTTCACCCCTGACCTGATCCTGCTTCTTTTTTCATCCAATCTTAGGTAGGTTCTGATCTCCCTCTTCTGAGTTTAATTGCTGCTTCATTTTTTTAATATATATATATACTGTGTGTATACACATCGCATCTTTGGATTATCTTTTGTTTGTTTTAATTTATGGTTTTCAATGTCATATGATCAGATCACTAGTTGATCATCATGTCCATTAATGGGCTTAATTACTCACTAATAAATCTACAGTCGATACTATTTCTGAAAGAATCTCTTCTTTGAGTTTTAATTTGTGTTTTTTCCTTACCAAAGTAACGATATACTATAGCAGCCTCTTTCATATATATATATATATATATGCAATTATCATGTAAGTACAATTTCAAGATTCCTGAATTGAGCATTAAATTTAACCATTATTAATTCCTTCCTTCCTTTAAGACTGACTCACATAATTACTTTCACAATCTGACAGTAGAATGATATATTAGCATTGAATTAATTTATGTAATTAAAAAAGCTATATATTAATTGCATTTGTTCCTCTAAAAGACTCATAGTTATATATAGAGGCATATGATTATAGAAATGTTGTATGTTTGTTGCAGGTATTTATGATTTTCATTATCACAAAGTGAATTGTGTATGTAATCGTTGTTGAGTGTAATTAATTAGCAGAATTAATACATCTTTTTATTTCTTCTTAATTTGGTGGGAAAGTCGATCCATGATGAGTAGTAGTAATGAAGGAAATGGTAATGAAAGTAGTGAACAAAAACGTGCACTCCGCTTGAATCAGAGGATCCTATCATCATTGTCAAGGAGATCCGTTGCTGCTCATCCTTGGCATGATCTGGAGATAGGTACGTACCCTGCTCCATCATTTCCATTACAACTAACTTAATTAAGCGCACACAAGTAATTCATTAATACTCATATCTGAGTATTGTACGTGTCCAGGACCCGGAGCTCCCCAGATTTTCAACTGCGTAAGTAATCATTCAGCTATTTTATTTTTAAGCATCTATTACAGTTCAATCAATGAAGGCCTAAAATTGAAACTTCCATCTCACAGTCTCATATATATATATATATATATATATATATTTTTTGTATAAATGGAATGTTGGTTGTTTGATTATATGCTTCATTAACTAGGTCAGATTACTATCAGTGAACCTGAGCCCATTTGGTGTATTGCTGCTGTATTATATTTTTATAGTGTTGTGGTGCAGGTTATTGAGATATCAAAAGGAAGTAAAGTAAAATATGAACTTGACAAGAAGACCGGTCTGATTAAGGTATAATTTTTTGACAGATTTGAATAAGTACCAAATTCCCATTTATACTAGTATTTTTGTTGCTTTTGATTTCCTATGATATACGATCCATCATGTCGATCACTTGGATGCATTTGCTTCAATGGATTAATCCTAGGTTGATCGGGTCTTGTATTCATCAATGGTCTATCCTCATAACTATGGTTTCATTCCTCGAACATTGTGTGAAGATAACGATCCAATGGACGTTTTAGTTCTCATGCAGGTAGGTCAACCTACATCACATACAAAAAACAAACGTACATAAATAATTAGAATTAGATGCATGCTTCTTTCTGCTATATATAACCTAACCATGAAATGGTGGAGAAATACACCCACAAAATTACCCAGAGAAACTCGTAAATATTTTTTCCCAAACTTTGAGCTCAGAGTTCATAAATAGGATCTATTTAAACTTAAATTCATCCACATTTTGAACAGGAACCTATCCTTCCTGGTTGTTTTCTAAGAGCCAAGGCCATTGGACTGATGCCTATGATTGATCAGGTGCAACTGATACCCCCCAAATTAACTTATTTGGAGTTATTTTTTCATAGTGATTGGAGATTGGAGAGTGATGATGATGATTTCATTGTTGTTTGTTTAAAATAGGGAGAGAAGGATGATAAAATCATTGCTGTGTGTGCTGATGATCCAGAATATCGCCACTACACTGATATCAATCAGCTTCCCCCTCATCGTCTAGCTGAGATCCGTCGTTTCTTCGAAGACTGTATCCTTAATTTTGTTAAAACATATATATAATTAGTTGTATGTATTTGAGGTTTATAAAAATTTTGAGGAAGACGACATTCAAGTTTCTTGACAAATAATTCAGACAAGAAGAACGAGAACAAAGAGGTTGCAGTTAACGAGTTTCTGCCTTCAGCCACTGCTCATGAAGCTATCCAGCACTCCATGTAAGCTTTAAATTAATTTGACAAACGAAACTGGTAGTTAAGAGAAACTCTTTTCCATTTCCACCCATCGTTCTATCTCTGAACCTGTAAACACGTACAGTCAAAGTAAATTAACTTTATGAGTCAGTACGTTCATACACTTTGAGTAACATGGTTGTCTTCAGATCCTAAGATTGAAGACGTCGTTTGATGGACCTAAAGGCCTGCTTTTGTTATCATTCTTAGTTTAAATCCTATTTTTACATACTAACTGAATCTCTGTGGTGGTGGAAATTCTAATTGCTTGCTTAAGTGTTCATCTCCTGAACTGTAAATTAATTAATATATATTTATATTTATAACGGTGCAGGGACCTTTATGGTGAGTACATTTTACAGACCTTGAGAAGATAGAAGATGAATTGGTGGTATATGTTCCTTAAAAATTGTCAAGTCTCAGATCTTACCACTGCTTAAATAAAACAGCAGTTCCCTCTCTGGTTCCTAAATATATCCGATATACTTTGAAAAACATAAGACATTAGAACGTTATCATCTTGTGCTGATTTAGTAGTATTTGTGTGGTAAAAATTGTATGTTAAACAAATGAGAAAAACAATGTGTGTGTGTTCTGGGATTCTAATTCTAAAATTGTTGTCCCGTTCTGTATTTTCAAATGTAGTCTCTAGTTGATGAAACTCAAGCCAACCAAATAAATTATACATGTGATGTATATGTTAGAGGAGCATCTTTCCATGAATCAATAATAAGTCCTGAGTCAGCAGGCCTTCGATTTCATTTCAGCAGAGCAGAACTACTCCGTAGGTTCAGGCATTATGTCATCTACTACTCATTGGCAAGTAGCAATCACTCCACTCCATTCAAATGCTGGATCAAAATGTTATCTCGAGTTCCTGCTGCAAGTATCAAACTAAATCTGTTGCAAATCAACAAAGGAGAGTTTTCAGACTGCAAAAATCTGGTAGAAAAGATCACATGTTTTAATCCATTACTGATGAAGTAAACTTGTCTTATGCAGGAAGGTTAAAGCTATATCCAAATCCGTTCTCTTTAGTCTTCAGCTCTATAGGATGTAAGCATTCATTATTCTTGCCCTGTACAAGAAAGGCATTCTTTTTCCATTAGTTGGTTTTTACCGTATGCACATACGTACTCGCTAAAAGAATCATAGCTCAGATCAATTCTTAATCAGAAGCTTCTTGGGGACTGGATCAGAATTAAGCTGAGAACAAAGGAAGCAGGAAGAGGTGGAACTAAAGTTGCTTGGAGTACTCCACTTTGTCTCCACAAAAACAAAGCCAAACTCATTTATGCTTGAATGCATTTGGAGCCTCTTTAAATTTTCAAAAACTTAACTCTTTTGAGGAAGAAATATATAGGATATCAAATGTTAAAGCAATTGCTGTTGGTCATGGAGGAAGCTGCTGCCTGCAACTAAGACCTTTAACCACTTATGACCACTTTCAGAATTGGAATGGCCTTAACACCTCTTCTTGGCTTCAAACTTTTCCCTTGTATGCTAGGATATCCAATCCGATCTTCTAGAGGCAGATATGAAACTGTGAGCTCTCTCATTCAACACAATCAGTGATGATGCATTCCTTCTTCCCTCTCCAAGACCATTCCAGAGTTGAGAGACATCTTTCTCCTTCCATCCATCAATCCACTCAACTCTGACTCCTTCCTTCGACTCTTCTCCTCGTTTTCCATCTCTCCTCCCCAATTTCAACCAGCCTCTACATTGTATGGTTTAGAAGTCCAAGCACAATTTCCTTCTCTCCTCAGGCTCTGATCAAATCTATCACTGAAACCGGCCATAAGGTCAAGTCTCAGTTAATGGTCCCTCAAGGACGGTTAGGGTGCTCCACATATTTTGCTGCTACATGGAACCCTTCATTAGGAAGCCTCCACACAACATGATCCAATAGCTGAGCATTATTAACTCTTCGTCTTCCTCAATCAAATCCTCTAGTGCTTGATTTCAGAGTTCGATCTATCAAAATTACTTACCTTACTAGGAAAAAAGAAAATAAACATATTATCATATAATCTAGGATCACTTTCACAGACAGATGTGGCTCCCTCTCTTTATCCTATCACTAATTTTAGAGAGAGGATGGTACCTCTGCCTCTGCCTCTGCCTCTGCCTCCAGTGGGATAGAAAAAAGAAAAAAGTTTGGCAATAATTAAAATTTTTAAGATGGAGCTGGAAGATCCAATATTATTGTTTCCATTGAAGGCCCAACTGATCAAGTGGGAAGTAATGAGGCTAGTCTCCCCCCTGAATGTAGAAGTAGTGTTGCCCCCCTTCTCGCGTATGCTCCTTTATTTAGATTCTTTCTATTTTGGAATTACCAATGGAGAATCTTTCTCAAATAAATCTCTCTGGCAAAACGCAATTCCTCGATGGAAATCCAAGGTGCACCTTGCCTTTTCTCATGTAGCTTTCTTACGCCTATTCAGCTAGTGGGGCATTGCATTGGTCATAGCCGAAATTCGTCGAAGGGATCAAAAAGAAAGAAGAGAAAGAAAGGAAATAAAACATTTCATGGAAGATGACAACTCTACATAAGCAATTGAAATTGGTATGAACCGATCATGGTCAAAAATGATAACAGCATATCACATCAGTAATAGCCAGGAGATTTGTTAGGTAAGCTTGCAAAAGATTTGCTGATGCACAACAACCAACCTCCGTAATTGTGATCGATCGTATGGCTCAACATTACCAAGATCCAAGTTGATTGAGAAAACGAAGATGTCCACACTAGTATTTAGCACACGTGGTTTTGCATCTTGCTGTGTACTGCATGTGAAGTACAAAACATTTTGGGATGGAAAACAAATAATAAATAATAATATACAACAAATAAATAATAAATGAAGGGGAGGGAGACACAGAATCATTGACCCATGAGTTTTGTTCATCAATCCAAATTGCAGTACTTCTACCCATCTATTACTTTGCACTATTAACTTTTTAGCATTCTTACAGCAAAGCTATTTATCAAATTTTGTTTTTTGAGCAAGGCATAGATCAAAACATCTACTACATTCTTAACTAGAACATAGTGAATCATTATTAAGATCTGATTTTTGAACTGTCCTTGTACTACAATTTCTTAAATCATTTGTATACCAAAGCTTCTAATTGAAAAATCGATATGTTCCCACTTCCAAGTTGAGCATAATGCCTAGTAAGATCAAAATAATACTAACAATAATTGTCCAAGAACACAAGAATAACCCAATAACATGTCCAAATCTTAAAGGTGCAAAAGTTTATATGGCTGGCTTTCAAGTAATAAGTGAAACAGACTATTATCCTCATAAATAACAAAAGAATGGGAAAGCAATACCAACTACATAATCAATAGCCTCTCCCATTTACGTTCTTTCTGAAATTCCACAGCTTGATGTTCTGCATGATATGCTGCTAGGCTTAAGATTTTAGCGTGATGAGCTAAAAAGAGCTCTGCTAATTATACCACTGGCCTCGATGTAGCGATCAACACACCTGGATATGCAACTGCTCTCGCTCCCACTCAGGCTACTTCCAGGTTTGGTAATACACTTCTCGAAGCACTTCCCCCTTACCGTCTGACAATCCAAAAAACACACATATATATGTAAATAATAATTGAGTAAATCAAATAAAAATAACAACTATTTGCATGTGCTGCCAATCTAATAGGAGTACACTATTTATATTTATACAAGCAAAAGTTAAGGACTTTGGCATGCCTCCAACCATGTTAGTCAAAGTGAACAAATCTGCTTTCCCTAGGAGTTTTATACTACAAATTCCAAATATTGAATATATATATATATATACATAAATTCACACAGCTATCAAAGGTGCGACTATGCTCCAAAAAGAACCTTAGGCTTGTCAAGTCTCAATAGGAGTGTCAGGCCCCTTCGGTCAGGCTCACATAAAATCCTCACCTTCACAGTTTTATGTAGTCTCCAAGCCATATAAATAAATATATATAATAAATAAATAAAAACACACGCGCACACACAACTTTTTTACTTAATCATTCAATAACACGATTGACATACTCCATATCACATTAATAAATATTGATGAATTGTATTGTTTAATCTTATCAAAAAATTTGGTGTGAACTCATGAGTTCATGGTTGATTACAGTCATTAATTGTGTCTACTATTAGATTCTAAATATTTATAATAATATACATATCCAAACATTATTATAGTTTTTTATTGTCACACATTTATAATGAATTTGATTTACTTCATCCATACGCGGTACCCTCTAAGTCTAAGCTGATATGTCAACAAATACAAACTTTAAAATTTTTAATTACTTTTGTTAAAATTGTGGTATTGATTTAACTGAGTTTATATGCAAATTGAAAGGTGATATGTACACAGATTTAGTAAAGCCACTTGATTAATATGCTTAAAGTTTTCTTGATTTTGATTTTGACAAGTTTGAGTTGTATACTATTCCCAAACCCACCCCAACTCCGCCCCGTTGCCATCCCTACTTAGTGTGTCTTGAGCCTTTAATAACCATGTGTCTTAGAAAGTTAGAAGGTTGCAGCTTTCATATGGTTTACATTTCATGCTTCAAACACAGCCAACAATTATAAATTCTGTACCGAAGCAACACGTCTAAAAAAAATTGAAACTTGTAAATTGGTTGAAGTTTCTGTTTCTTGAATACGTTAATTTTTTAGTTATTTTAATTCAGTGTATCTATAACATTATGACGCAGAGATGACAATGCTTACTTTTGCAGTCACATGCAACACAGACAACTAAAGACTGGGATATAGGATTGTATAAGATTTTGACAGCTAGAACATAAAACCAACAGCCAGAATCTAAAGATACTTTTTCTTTATATCCCTGTACGTGAATCTTTAAGGGGGTAGGTGGGATACAATAGATGCTCCCACTCTTCTCTTTGTTTTTGATTCTCTACCTCATCTACACATCTCTCCTCTTCAATCTTCAATTTCTGATTCTAGTTCCCATTTATTCTAAAGTACATTCATGCTTAGAAGCTGTCTGTAGACAACTTGCTAGGCATTCCCAATAATTAATGAACTATATGAATAAGACAGATTAATAGCAGTAATCAAAGTACCATATTAACTGTTACTAAATGTTTGCTACTTGAATAGACTTCTGCAGTGTCACACTTCTACATGCTTAACTTGTGTCTAGTTCGTGAATTTAAAACATAAATAGTAAAGTTGATGCAGGGCAACTAATACTTCATTGCTTAGAGGCATTTAGTCACCACAGCTCACCTAGGGAAAAAATATTAACAGTGAATGGTCTGGAAAGATTTGTTGGTCTCATTAGTTTACAAAAGCTTTGTTGGGTTTCATCATCTTGACCCTCTTAGAAGATTTGTTGGTCACATTAGTTTACAAAAGTTTTGTTGGGTTTTGTCATCTTGAAAACACTGATAGTAATGTTCCTCTTAGAAGGAGGAGGAAAGAATTATAAATAAGGCCACTATACTAATGGTATCATCATCATATAATTGGGAGTATCTGTTTATTCAGGTTTCATTGAATAACTCATTGGCAAACCTTGGCACCAATGAAATAAACTCACGAACCATCTGTAACAACCAGTGGATTCACCGAAAACGAAAACCATTCATTCCTCCTTTGCCAACACTCACAAGGAGAGCGAAAAATTAAGCTTTCTCATGAGAACAAACATATTAATGCATAGAATCAAGAAACCAAATCGTCCATCACTGGCAATTACATTAGAACAATGAACGTGGAACCTAAGTCGATTTCAAATTTTTTATTAGATGCTACTGTGTTTTGACACGGATATATATATATATATATATATATATATATATAATTACACAAGGAAAAAAGAAAAAAGAAAACAAAAAAAATAAAGTCACTTTAAATACTAAAAACAAATTTATGAAATTCCAATCTTCTTTGTAGAGAAACAGTACCTCGAGGAACTCCTCGGCGTAAGCCTGGGCAAGCTGAGTCTTGAGCTGGTCCATGAAATCCTCCGCTGAGAGCTTCGGGGACGATCCGGTGGATGGCGCTGAAAACGAATCCATATCTCTCTCTCTATAGGTTATCGATATATATATTTTCTTCCTGTGTCTTCTCTGGTTCTCCTCGACGCCTACCAAAAAGCACAAAAAACCCTAGAAATAGAAAAGCGGCACTTGCTTGCTTCCGCCTTAAACCCTTCCCTTTTACTATTATGACCCCTTTCTTTTTTAAAATCACATTTATGTCCCGAATATCTCTTTTTGAACTTACCACATTTGTTGTGAGTCTTTGTTTTTGTTTTTTTTGTTTTTTTTTCACACACAAATATGATATATATATATATATTGGGGTTAATTTCATCTACACTCCTTTACATTTGTCAATATCCCACTTACACCCTCTCTACGTTTCATAATTCCAGCTGCCCCCTTAAGGTTTTGATCTGGGTAAACAAATCCCCCCCTGCCGTTAAGAAACTCACGATGTGTGTGGTAATGTCATAAAAAAAAATTGATGCAAGGTTAATTTTGCCCTTTTAATGTCTAAAATGACATCTTTAACCTCATTGACCAACACAAATTTACAAACCTATCATTCACTTATAAAATCAAAAGGACAATAATACCCTTCCCTTGAATCATTCCCTTATATATATATATATATATATATATATATATATATATATATATATCATTGTCTTCCTCTCACATCGTCGCTGCTAGAGAAAAAAAAAAAAAAAACCTTGGAAATAAGACCCATATAATCCAAAGATCTGATCATGGAGACTCCAACAGAGAGTTCCTAATTCAGGTGATTCGGAAAACTAAGCTACGGCACTGGATAGGTAGCCGCAGAGCTTGCCGATCGACGACGGGGAGGGCGGTGACAAAGCCCGATGAACTCGTGATGAGGATGGCGGTGGGTGAGATCTTTAGTTCAGGGGCGTCGCCAATATAGTGTTGGAAATGGGGGCATTAAAAATATAAACTTTGGATGAGATTTGGAATAGATTCCGCAAATAATTTTTTGCGGATTTCTAGACGAGCGCGTTTTTCTCCGCAAGAAAATGAACGTGGTATATTTACTTTCTCAAATCAGTTTTCGGGTGAATGAGAAATTAACTCCAAAGTGTGGTGTTTTGATAAGCCTAAATGAGTATGCAAAATGTGGGAAGTGTTTGTCTCACATGGAAAAAAATGTTGAAACCAATTGAAATTTAAATAAGCCAGATTTGGGCTTGGGCTTGGGCTTGGGCTTGGGCCTAATTGTAAAGTCCAATTATTCTTTTTACTAAATGGAATCTTGGATCGGGCTTTTAATTATGGGTTGGGCTTATTTAAATGGATGGTTGGTTTTTGAATTTAAATTAAAAGTTTTTTTTAATTATTTTTAAAAAAGGTTGTATCTATTTCCAAAGGGTTGCATTTGTTTTCCAAAGAGTTGTATCTGTTTCTAAAGGGTTGCAACATATTGGAATGTATGTGTCTATTGGTGAACAGACACTATGTGAACCATTGCAACCTATTGGAATGAATGTGTCTATTGATGAACAGACCCCATGTGAACTAGTGCAACCAATTGGAGTGGGTGTGTTCAATGTGAAGAGACACATATAAATGGTTGTGTCCAATGATGAAGAAACACATATAAATGGTTATGTCCAATGATGAAGAGGCACACCCAATCCGAAAAGGCACCTTACTTAAAAACTACTTTTTAGTTTTTTCCAAAGAGTTACACCCAATCCGAAAAGGCACCTTACTTAAAAACTACTTTTTAGTTTTTTCCAAAGGGTTGCACCCACCTAAAAAGGTACCTTGTTGCCTATAAATACCCCCCTTTGGATCATTTGCAAATCGTTCATTTCATTTTCTTCTATCTCTCTCTCTAGGCTTGAACCCAACCTAAGTGGGTTCAAACCATAGGTTAAGTGGTCCGAACCACTTAGACCTTAATCCAATTTCATCGAGCCATATTAAGATTGGTCCGAGCCATTTGGTTCGGATTGCACCCAAATCAGCATTTATATAGTATAGATGCAATTTTGAGTCAAAGAGAGTATTACACGGAGAAGGTTCGCCGTATCCACGAGTTTATAAAACTGCTACTGATGGATGTAGACCGTTATATCCTGGGAGATAGACGCCACTGAATCCGTAAGCACCATAGCGTGGCGAATCTGTCTTAAGGACATAGTATCCAATACTAGCCTCGGTCTAGGTTCTTTATTTATTATTATTATTTTATTACTTTATTTTGCATATTTAATTAATGATTTCTTAGTATATTGTTAATTATCTCATGACATATTAGTATAATGTTTGTTATATCTTAAATGTCACATGAAGCATATATATTTACCAACAATCTTAAGACAGATTCATTCCTTACGTAGATTTTATTATATGCTTCTATTTAAGATATAAAAAAGTAGATATTATACTAATAGTTGAGATATAATAAAATAATGTTTTATATATTATTATATGATAATATGCTAAATATTGATGTGTTCAGTATTATATGAGATTAAAGCATGTTATATAAGTAGACTATTGAATTATTTATATAATTCAATATTGGTTAAATTATTTTAATTTTGTAATATGATATTATGAAATATATGACATTACCTTAAACATGTACCAACTAGAGGTGAAAAAGGTACTTTGCTACTTTTATCAATGGTTGCATAAGATACTGTTATGTATATTTGCTACAAAGCAAAGATGAAACTTTAGAAATGTTTAAACATTACAAAAAATGAGGTTGAGAATCAACTTGGCAAAAAGATCAAGGTGTTAAGAAATGATAGAAGTGGTGAATACAAAACACCATACTCTTATAATTGTTTAGAACATGGTATCTTTCACGAAGAAATGATGAATGCTATGTTGATAAGTTCTGATTTAAATCAGAATTTGTGGGGGGTAAGTTTTGTTTTCCGCAAATTATATTCTCAATAAAATACTTCAAAAGAAAACTAATGTGACACCATGTGAATTATAGAAAGGTCGAAAACCTTCCTATAAATTTTTAAATATGTGGGGGTGTCTAGCTAAGGTTGCAGTTCCTACTCCTAAAAAAGTTAGAGTGGACCTAAAATGTGATAACCTTATAGGTGAGTGTGTCATGGACGGGTGCAAGAGGCACTAATAGGTAACCACACTAGGTGAGCTACAAGTGCACAGTCCCACACATAAAACCTTTGATAGGTTATGCTCATAACAGTATTGCATATCATTTTCTTGTGTATAAATCATACAATGAAAATAAAGATGAGTTTAGAGGTAGTAAAAAGGCTAGAACGTCTAAATCTTTTATTCCTGATTTTCTAGCATGTTTATTGGAGAATAAGCCACAAAACTTTTAGGAAGCAAATTCTTCTCTTAATTATTATTATTTCTTATATTAATTATGTGATATAATTAATCATGTAATATAATATGAAACTATATTGTTATGCAAGTTCAATATTATTTTTATAAATGTTTACTTTTATTTGATATTATAATATTGAACTATGTAGTTGAATTACTTAGTGTATATAATAATTTAATTTTATAATATAGTTAATGTGTGATATTATTAACTTTATATATGAGTTCATGATTAGTTTGTGTATTAATACAACAAACTAAAATTGACTAGTTCAACTATGTCAATTCTCTCGATAGTCAAAGGAAAAAGATCTATACTAGTGTTTAAGACACGTATAGTTGTGAATGGGCTGACTAAGAGAAGATTTTCCAATAACTCTAAAAATTTTATTGGAAAATGTTATGGATGCACTAAGTAAATACACCGAGACAAGCTAAATCAAATTAGTTAGCTCTAATGTACAATTTAGCTAAAAGCTAAAATGTTATTGAGTTGCAAACTAGTTAGCTTAGCTATAAGTTAAAATGATTAATGAGGTGCATAGAACCTAAGAGGAAGATGAAACACTGTTAGTTGATTCTAGCTCTCAACTTGATAGTAAAAAACATGAGGGTGATGAGTAGCCATTTTAGCCATTAGTTATTTGAGCTATACATCATATCTGCTCAAGTAGAAGGGAATAATATTACTTATAAAGTAGTAGTTTTTGAAAAATATTCTTCAAAACAAATTACTCAACTACCAAGGTAGGCTATTTAGATAAGTGTGTACTAAAGCTATGAACTATTAGAATTGATAGCTAAACAAACTTAACTTCAAGCTAGCGGCAATAGCTAAAAAATGGGTGCTCATCATAACCTAGTAGTGAGATATGAGAAGAGTGTACTTAATCTAAGTTAGTAATGATAGCTAAGAACTCACTTTTAATTAGTAATGATAGCTGAGAAGTGAGTGCTCACTCTGTGGAGATTGTATCCAAAGCTTAAATAATAAGATAATTATTTGCTTAAATGATTGAGTTATGTGATGTGTGACACATGAAAGGTTATGACATGTTAATATGACTGACTTAACATGAACCTAAACATGAATAACTCAATTCATAATACAAGAGATGTGGAAGCAAATATTAATTTGAGCCCATTGTAATTAATATATCTAGCATTAATTCACAGTAACATATGGTAACAAGGCAATAATCATGTCAACTTGAAACTTACCACCCAAGTCAGCCCTATTGATCTCCAGCTAATTTTTAAATAATAAACAATCATTTTCAAAATACAATTTCATACTGGAGTTCCTTAGGCTATCTTGATGGTGTTCAAGTCTGACATAGTATGTAGGCATACACCCTATCTAATCTCACTAAAACATCTCATTAAATATCTTAAAGTAAAGGAATTAGGTATAGGAGTATTATATACATTTTGTACCCTTACGTTGTGAATAAAATATCTAAGTTCCTTTTCCAGTCATTATAAAAGAGGTCCACATACATTGAATATGTTAGCAAGCAGATAACATGGATTAGACATAATTAATCTGAATATAAATGCATTCATACAATATGCAATGTAAATTATTAATACTATCATGCATATTTAAAATTAAAATGAGTTTGTTAACTACATAATATAATAAATCTCAATTGAATAAGAGATCATTATCATTATTGGTAAACAATCCCTTTTAATTAATGCGGGTTCCTCAACCCTGTAGCATAATAAATCAACCAATCAATATGTCAATAACTTATCCTGTTAGAGGAGTTCATTATTACTATTGTTGAGATTCATTTGCTATTAGGCGAACACTTCCATTAAAATAGTATGTGGGTCCTTTAACCATTGTATGAAAAATCGGATAATCAATACGCCAATAACTTATTCGGTTGGCGAAGTTCATTATTGCTATTGGCGGACAAATCACATCATCTCCATATCTCTTAAGACAATGCCTTGTCTATTTATATGAAATGATTCCCGATTATGTTTAGCCTTTCTAAAATCACCTAGTATAAACCACTCTGTTGGGGAGCTAACACTATTGATTTTAGATTGAGTGTATAACGTTGTTAAAGCTCTAATGAAAAAAAAAAAACATTAAATATCTTGTCATTATAATTTAGACTCTTTAAATCATGCGTAGGGCCTTATTTTTAAAGATCTAATTATAATAAACATTTAATATTATTATTTTCATGAGACAACCATTCTTGTAATATTAAGACTCTTCAAATCATGCGTGGGGCCTTATTTTTGAAGATCTAATTACAATGGTTATAATAACGAAGGCCATGGGGCAATGTATAAAAATCTCCGTTCCCACTCAATTTTTAATCATTAATAATTAGGGTTTTGAATTTATTCATTTACATGATATAATGCATGCAAAACGTCTTGATTTTAATCCATTAAATTTAGAAAATATTTGGACACTTAAATGATTCACTAATGTTTAATTTGAAGCACTCTTTAAAAATAATTTACAAAAATAAATTTTCATTTCCCAATAAGTGCCCTCAAATTAATTAGTAATCAAATCTAATTAATTTTCATAATTTAATTAATATAAATCAAGTCATTTAATTAAATATCATGGATCCAATGCATAAATAATAATTAATCAACAATTATCTATTCCATGCATCACATAAATAAATAAATAATAGACAAGAGTAATTTAAATGGCCAATGGATTCAGCTTTTAACATTTAAATACTATTCTTGCTGTACGGGCGTCTACCAACGGCTTAATAACACCTGAAAGGAGCAGTTACGCGCCTGGAGAAGCCAAAACAAAGTAGCATGTCCCACGCACCCCTACGCGCGTCCCACGTGCTTGGAGAGTGAGCAAGGAGACTCCACACGCTCGCACGCACTGGGGAGGTCAGCAGGCGCGTGTGCCACGCGCCTGCACGCGCTTCTGGTAGTAGTGGCCCTTGTTCGGCGCGTGAGGAACACGCGCCTGAATTGATTACTTGTCTGGCGCGTGACAAGAAATTTCCTACTGCCAATTCTGGCCCGTGTTCCTCACGGGCCAGATGTATTATTGGTGCGCTGCACCAGATCCCATCCTCCTCCAGTACTTCTTTTCGCTGCCAATGATGCTTCGGTGGTCGGAAAATCGCCGATAATTCCAGAAAAATATTTAAAAAATTCCAGAAAATATTAATTAAGTCCAAAAAATTCAAGAAAAATTCCAGAATAATTCCAGAAAATCCCTGAAGCCTAATTTAACCCTTTTGGACCTTCTTGAAGCTTCATAGGATCCTTTAATGAAGATTACATGACTTTAAATAAATTTACAATTTGAAATACAATGAAAAAAAAATAAAATTACATCATTGAATTTTCAAACGGCTAAATTAAAGCCTTAATTACATTCATCCAAAGATAAAATTACATTCAATTAACCTATAAGCTTCATCAATGGCCCAATCATAAATCAACATTCATCCAATCACAAATATACATACATCATGATCATATAAAAATATATATATATATATATATATATATATATATATATATATATGCATATATATATTTGGATCCATGAATGATGATTTTCATAAAATCATGATCTCTAGTGATGAATCAAACCATACTCTGATACCACTGTTAGGAAACGTGCAAGTTTTAAAACTTTTTGAGGGATTTTGATTCATAGATCTTGATTCATCACATAGAGACAAGTTTTATGCAAAAATAAAATATGATGTATCATTCAATTAAAGATTGAATACTTATATCAAAGGTCTGAGTAAACCTTTAAACCTTTCCTCTAAAGTGAATGTTCTCACTTATTGTAAATCCCTTAACAAGATGCCTTCTCCTTGGATCTCCATCTTCTTGGTAATTGTTTTGCCTTTAGGAATCACTCATAAGCCTCCATGAATGACTTTGGAAAACTAGGTTTGTGGGAGCCTCCATTAGATGAGAACATAAACCCTAATTTTCTAGAGAGAGAAAATAAATTCCTTTTTCCTTCTTCTAAAAATCATACCTAAAATATATATAGACCATGTATATTTATAGGCAATATAAAGACAAAGAAAATGAAACAATAACTCCTTCTCAATCTTTAATTCACAAGTCTCAAATCTAATAGGATTCCAATATCAAGTTGGGCTATGAGTGAGAATCCTTTAGGCTTATTATTTTATTTGCTATAATGAATTAATAATTGGCCCGGTCCATGGACCCAATTCAATTAATTCATAAATTAATTTCTACTCCACTAAAATAAATTAATTGAACTCCAATTAAATAATAAATAACCTCTAAGTCAATATTGCACTTTGACCCCTCTATGCATAATTAGTTATCGGATAAATAAAGCCATCAATCCGACTACTTAATTAATATATTTATTTTGGTACCATTAACTATTTCTGGCTCGATCACAATAAAATATTTGTTTGACAAAAATAACAATTTAAATAAATAAATATATAATAAATCATTTTGTCTAAAAGTACACGAAGGCCTTCGAATTTACTTTGTGATCAAACATAATCAATACAAAATAAATACAAGTAGCAATGATGCAAATATTGAAAATATAACCTTCTAACTATTAATTACATAACCACCCAAAGTGTCGGTCTAAGGATCCCGAAGTATCCGCCGAACAAATCAAAGTAATTATTAATTAATAAAAGAGTTTATATTTTTCTCATGCTTAAGAGTCAAATGTCATGACAGTGATAAGGAGTAATTGCATACAATGGCTCTCGCAATATATCTCAACCTAACGCGGATCCAGTTCAAGTCTTAATTAATTATGAGTCCATCCATAATTACCGACTATGAACAATTTATGATTACTATTTACATTCATGTATTGATCGCCATCACATACATATATAAATATCTCTTGTAATCAAGTGGACATTATCAATTCTATAATGAATCGAAATATAATACATTGAATTCACCAATTATATGAAGCATAAATATTTCAGAAACGTCAGGAACATCTGTCACTTTAATCCAGATAGGAATTTGCTATGCCAGGGCATTGGTCTTAGATTCATATGCGATCATGGTATAGTCTTGGGAATATTTTGCAAGGAAGATCTTGATGTATGGGATCTCATCAATAATAGCGACAACACCACCATTTTTAGTTCCCCTTGATAAAGCATCTGCATATTCCTTAGGCGATGAATATTGCATAAGCTTAGTGTCTTCAAAATTCAGGTTGCTGACAATATCTCCTTTTACGAGAGACCCACTTTGGTATCCTATATAATTCTCTTTTGATGTTAGTTATATCTGTTAGACCGTCAGCATTGAAGATAAAGTTACAGTGTAGATTGAAGTCAATATAAGCACAACGAACACCCAAACAATTACTGTAAACCTTGACAAATTACTTAATAACTTTTCTCCTGCAATGTCAAACACCAGAAGATCATTCCCATTCGCTAAGCTGCCGAACCTTGGAATTTTTCATTTACCGGATGCTCAATAACCCAAACAACAAAGCCGGTTAGGATAAAGAAAGCAGCACTTCTCAGCCATAGATTTGAATCAAGTGGCTTCAAGAAGATCCACATGTTCTTATTGTCAACCTTTGCTATTGTTCCAAGAGCCAAGTCGGTATATGGCACTGTAAAGTCAACATATAGAGATCTATTGGCCGTTATTGTAGTATCCCCTACAACAACATCATAATGCTGAGCCATTCAAAAATGCAACATACATAAAAAAGACCACTATGCAGATATATATAAATAAGCTAGCATTCATGTCTAGCTGCATGTTTTGTGTCGTGTGAATGCGTGTGGGCAATGTGAAAAATGTTTCTCGTACTAAATATTTGTGAATCTCTCAGTTGTGACATTGTTCTACAATTTGAATTGACGTACCTGAAGATATACCTGATATACAAGATCATTATAGTTTCCTGCCGGCTCCCCATTGGAATCCTCAAATGGAATAAACTTGTATGATTCAGTATTTAGTAAGCCATCAATGGCAGCATTGAATACATCAATGCAGAAACCAGTGGCAGTTGTTGCATTTGTTTGAGGATTACGCTGCACCTTTATCAACTCTTCGAACCCTTGATTCATTGGTACACCAATTCTTAGCTTTTTACCATTCATTCGCATCAACCAACCTTTTGGAGTAGTTGTAGATCCTCCCGGCCAGATAATGGTTTCAAGACCTGTATTGGTACTTGAATACCTCGGATATTTTTCACTAACAGATGGATTCATTTCATTAGTGATTCCATCAGTCACTGTCCAAAATCCAACTTTTCTCTCCCATTTGCCTAATACATTCACTATTTCAAATGCTCTAGAGATTAGTTTCCCGTGCATAAATTGGAACTCACCACTTAAACCCCTAAATCTAATTTGCAATAACTCGTTTAGAATTATTGAGCCACTTTGAGAAGCTCCAATGTTAGCTAAGTCTATCATGTTCAATGCTGCATTTTGTTCCTTAGTTTTAAAAATCTTATCCACTACCTTCTCCACTGCCCTTGCTAGGGCCCAAATTGAATCATATGCCCAAATGCCAAACACATTTAACTCCATCATTTCCATATTGGGGTTTTCATACGCATTTTCCTTCTCCATCTTACAGGGAAGTTGTGGAGCTTGCTTGATGGGGAATATAAGACTTGAAACCTAGTGCGTCTTGTATTGACTCAATGAGTACAGAAGAATCCATTGGATGTAAGAGGTCCATTGTCTTGTCAGTTATAATCCAAGCATATCCCTCACTCATCATTCCTAACCTTTTGACGTTTAAGAAAAGACAAGACACTAGAGAAGGTGAAACATGCACAACAAATATTGTTGTTTGTAAAGTACTACTCGTGAGATTATGGAGCTCTACAAAGATTTATTCATCAGTAGCTGAGGGAGAAATGGCACTCTTATAAGCGATACGTATGTTTTTCTCTTGGAATGAATCGGCCAAATTTGATATGATTTCTCCCTGCTCATAAATAAGGATGACATTTGTCCATTGAAATGATTCTACAATGGAAGCAACACCATCAAATTCAAGGGTTTGGTCTTGTGTAATTTGAACGAGGTATGGATATTCCGTTGACGACGTAGGACTCCCAGTAAAAGAAAGGATAGGAACGTTGGCCTTGTCCCCCAGTGCAGCCAAGAACTTCATTTCAGGTGATGTTCCTGGACCTATGATTGCTTGCACCTTGTTATTCTCCAAAAGATCAAGAGCTGCATTGGCAAGGGAAGCAATTTACTTGATTATTTAATGTCATGGTAAAAGCCCCCAATTTCAAGCATGAACTTTGGCTTTTAAGTTCAAACATATCAGTCTGGAAAGAAAATGGTAGGTTTATGAAAATGAGATAGAATTCAAAACAATTTTCTTTCCTTGGCAAAAGGAGCCAAATCAACTTAGGTGACCAAATAGTAGCATTTTCTTTTATATGCGTATGAGGCCATGCATGCCAATAAATAGTGAATGAAAAATGAAGAAGACAATTCAGGAAAGGAAAAAAAAAAATGCTCAAGGATTCATTAAGTTGCATGTGGAATGTAAAGCGAAAACTCACCAGTAGACAGAGCGCGCAAGGGTTCTCCCTCCGAATCCCTTACGTGAGGAACTACCCTTGTTCTATAGTGTTTGTTTAGAGCATAAAAATCCGATATTGCCCTTCACTACACCCATACTGCTACTTTTATTTGTGTCCGCACTACAAGAAAATACACATTTTCAACAACAGGCCCACAGATCCATTGTAGACAGAGTTTTTTACAACAGGCCCGCATGGCCCATTGTAGAAAGGTGTTTCATCTACAACAGGCCCGCATAGCCCATTGTTGAATGGACTTTATACAACAGGCCCGCATGGCCCCTTTTAAGAATGGGTTGAGTGTCTTTTTGTGAAATTTTCATTTTCCCGGCAATTGTTTCCATCAGGCGCCGAAAAAATTCATTTCTCCTCCCGTACACATCAATGAACCAAAACACCCCTCTCTCTTGAATCCATATGAAACCCTAATCCTCTCTAAGTCCAAGCAAGAATTTTTCGGGAGCTTCGTTTTGGCGAGTTTCACCTTCAGAGGAAAATTGCCCAGGTGCGTCTCTGTTGATCTCTGAACTCTCGTCTCTATTCATCTCTGAACTCTCTCTATTCTTCTCCTCGATCGATCTCTTCCTTCTCTGAACTCTCATCTATCACCCGAAGAAGATACCATCATCTGTAGGCTGACCAGAATTGAGAATTTTAATCCGACGAAGACCGGCGTCTGACGAAGACCAGCGACTGGCGATCAGCGACGAAGACCAGCGACCAGTTCTACCAGTGAAAGTCGCCTATGTATGTGATTTTAATCTGATTTCTGTCTGTCCCCTCTTCTCTTTACCTATAGTATAGTCGGATTGATGAAACCCTTCAGAACTTCCATAAATCAAGATTGAATAATAAACAATCTTTGACGTGTATTATGAAATTGGGATAGTCTTTGACAGTGTATCATGAAATTGGGGTTAGTCTTTCAATTTGCCCTCTGTGAATATGGTGTTTTCAGGGTGCTCTCTTTGCACGACTCGACTTGTTGGGGTTTTAGCGACCCCAACCTCTCTTTTGGGGGCCTTTGTGTCGCCCCTTAGGCCAACCAAACCTAAAACTAACCAATTCCTTCTTCCTCCAAATATATCTGTTCGAGAGTGCCATTAACTGTCTTCAGAACAGTTTGCAGACCTTGGATCCTCAAATTTATTGTATATTGAACTTTTCTATGCTGGCAAGTAGAGTGTAGAGCATAGGAAAGAAGAAATGGAATTATAATATTGTGCCTTGTCCTTATATAAGATGATTATGTGTAATTTTTTTTTTTTTTTCTTCTGCGAATTTTTTTTTCCCTGGGCATAACTTTGATAATAGATACTTTCTTTTGCTCCCTTTTTTGTGCATATCCTTATCCAAGTCCTACTTGATTCGATAAAAGGGATATATAACAGAGGTGGTCCATTTTGTAGATGTCTGTGTAAAAGTCTGACTAGATGTGTATTTATAAGCCATCTAAGATATCTTAGATCTTCTTTTAAATTAAGAATATATATTAGAATTTCTATGGTGAATTTTTTAGTTATTATAATTAAGTTTTAATAGTATTTTTAATTTTATAAGGGTTAGAAATGACATTATTGAGGAAATCAGATTCATCGTCTTTTGGACTTATGTACACTTATTAACATACTATTGCTCAAAGATTGTGTGATTATGGACCTCTAGCTAGACAAAGTATAAACTATATACATATATATTTTTTTCTTTCTTTCCATGTATCTCTCTTAAAATGGATATAAATTTACAAGTTAGTTATTTTATTATAACCTTTGAAATGTAAATGTTTTCATTGAACTAGAGAATTATTATTTTGTAGAGCAGATATAACATCATCGAATTCCTTATATTCTTAGTGAAAGTTTCTTCAGATATAATATATTGGCAAGAAACTTGATGTTGACTGATTTGTTCTTGTTTCTTTAGAGTGGACGATCATATATAAAATTTTATTTTGAGAGTGTCTGAGCTTGAGATTTTACTGAGGAATATTTCATGAAAATATGTTTTGTTATGGATACTCATTTAATTTTTTTTTTATTGTCTCAAAGTATATTACATTCAAGTGCGTAGATGATATATACGATGATAGATTATGATATTATTTGAATATGTATGTGCTGATTATACTTTTTGACCAGTTTAGATGGCACCCTTAATAATTACTTGGCACAATTTAAAGAAAAAACAGGGAATCTTAGTAATTTTTAGCATTCTGTTAGACGGGTGAAAGTTAAAACTGAAATATAAGGGAAAATGTCATCTTTAGGACCCGTGGGAGGGGAAAAAAAAATGACTATAATATTGTTCTAGATAATTTTAAATTTCAGCTATAGTGTGAACTTGGATTACCTTCATGTTATGTTTATCGATAGATAAGCCACAAATTTTTTATTTTATTTTATTTTTTTATTATTGCTAAAGCAATGGATTAGTATTGAACTGTTTGTTAATTCATTTATTTTGGGAGATTAGTTATCGTCAAATTGTGTTTGTTAAATTTTTTATCGGCCCTTCAATGAAATTGGGATGTGAAACATTTGTTGAACATTATTTTGTTATTGAATAAACTGGTACGACTATAATTTGTGCTTCAACAAATCATGCTTATTTGATTTTAATATTTTTATAGTTGTATATAATTCTTGTGTTGTTTAGTGGTAGTGTGGTGGGTAATATATGTAATTGAATTTTGAATGGCAATTACTTGAAATAGGAGAAACGGGATATCTTGTCATGGCTTGAAATTACTCCTATAAGATGATCATGTGTAGTTAAGTTTTATTTATTTAGTTACTATTATTATTCTTTTTTTCTTGAAGGAGGTTAATGCAATATGAAGAGTTAGAGATTAAGTGTATTGAAAATGGTGATTCGCCATTTATATGTTTTAAATACGCCATATAAGTTGACCCGTGTTATTAGTCAGGTGGAACAGTATAGGACATATTCTCTCTAATTTCCATAAGGTCCACAGTATTGATACTAGGCCATTTCCAGCACCCTCTGCCTAGACCAGAGTCTATGAGAAGTTTAAATGAACATCCAATATAAATTACCTCCCATTAGCATCCAAAACCTTTGAGGATTATTCAAGAATTATTTAATTTAGATTGAAATAGATATATTGTTGCTTAAAAATTATTTATTTTATACTGAAACATATATTTTTTTGCTTAAATTAAATTGTTCAGATTCACAATCTTCATCCTCTTCACTACATTATGTTGGGGATAATCTAAATAATCCTAAATAATAGATTTCTCTGCAAACCTAGCAATCAAAAATTGAATAGGCATCTACAATCTGCCGTAACACGCACAATCTTCATCCTCTTCACTACACTATGTTCGAAATTTGTGAATTTTTGCTTAAATATGACCTAGAAAATGAAGAAGCTGATGAACAGAGGATTTTGAAAGCCTTCATCCTCTTCTGTTTTTACTTCAATTTCCTCATCTAATTTTGATCCTCATAACCTTCAATAGAGTTCGAATCGTTCTTTGTCTTCTTCGTACCTATTCTGTTTGTGTTCAGAGAATTTAGAAAGCCAGCAAGTTGGCGGCCAGGTGAGTTCAGTTGTTTCGCCGCCTTCAAATTGTTGTAAATCTACATCTATAATCCAAGAATATATTTATATATGTATCTTGTGTGAGTGTGTGTGTGAGAGAGATTATATGGTATATTTACATTCTATATGAAACAAGTTGTCTGATTCTTTCCATTTGAATACATTTTGTGAACCCAAATATTATTATATATTTGCACATTTATATAATGGAGTTTTTATTTTAAAACTGTGAGCTCTCCATCGGTGATTGTTCCTTTTTACTAATTATATTACTGTTGTTTTTCCACATATAGCATCAGAAAATTTTAGGGTTCTCATTGTGTTCTAAGTACTCTGTTAATGGGTTGTATGAAACTGCAATTGAAAGCTGAAATTATTGTGTATACTGCCACAGACAAGTAATATTATTTCTAAAATTATTATCGTTATATCAGTGAGTACTTAATTATGATAAA